CTTGTTTTTCAGGTCGAGGGCTCTTTATCCTAAGTTGATGACGTTTGACCACCACCAGCCCTAGTTTGGTTATGCTCGACCAAGAGGCTCGCTTGGCCTAGTCAGCCGGTTTATTCCTTTAGGTATGGTATTTCATATCATCTAGTCTCCCTCACTCTGGTCGAGATGGGATAACTTGACCCAAGAGTATATGATTTTCCTTGTCTTTTGATTGATATGCTCCACTCTTGAATTTTTGACATGCCTGCTTTTTACTACATGTTTTTAGGCCTTTCCCCTCTTAATTTTCTTTTTTAAATTTGAAATTTACTACTCCATCCTTCAGACCCGCCTTTTCTGTCAGACTTGTCCATTGATGATTCATGTTGATGTCACCGTCCTGTGAATCGCGTTGCCTCGTACATTGCACCCATTAATTTCTTTTATTTAAAGTGATCATTGTAATAAAGGATTTAATCCAACGATTTATTATCTAAATCCTTTTCACCTAGCCAACTTTAATCCCACAACCATTAAGGCCTATCTCTTCAACTTCACCTGCCCACCATCTTCGTTGTCCATCTCCTTCTTCATCTGACGATCAGAATTTCATCGACCTTTCTAATTACCCTCCTTCTTGCTTATGAAAAGCCCTAACCCTGACTTTTCCCAGCATTTTTCACCTTTGCCAATTTCTCACTTATATCTTTGTGCCCCTGTTTCCGTTGTATAATTCTGGCCTAACCATTAAGTACGGAGTGGTGGGAACGATGAAACCTGTGAATACAAAAGATTTTTTTTTCCTTTTGGAAGGTAGAGGAGCGAAACAATCAACCTATTGATATTGGAAGAACCAACTGATTCTTCCAATGTATCATTATGGGCCAATAAAGTCTTTTTCTCTTCGTTTTTGGATTGTTGCAATCAAGCTCTCCACAATCCAAGTTTTTCAGATTCTCCAGCAACCATTCCAAATACGACAATGAGTAAGTACCTCAATCTTGTGGTTTTTGTTTTTTACTTGAATTTTTTGATTTCTTGTTTGTTTTGTTTTATTTTTTTTAATCCCTCGGGTATGGCTTCTTCTTCTTCTTTCTTCTCTATGTCCAAAAGATCTTGGAATTCTTCTTTTTGATGTTTTTCTTATTTTATTTTTATTTTTTTTTCAGATTTCGGCACTTCCTGTGAAAACGACCACCACTCCGCCGATATATGACTCCACCGACCTTCTGATCACCCTCTCAACCCAATTGCACCCCCTCTCCTTTTCTCTCAATACAAGAGATTCTTCAAGTGACTCAAATTTCCATCCTTCGTCCTCAGGTTCCCGTTCAAACTCACCATGACCACACGAACTCACCTAACCAGACCTTTCCTACTACCCCATCTTCTCGCCCATCCTTCCCTCTGTCGATGAGCTAGTCGAAGAGGATGAGGACTCTTTGTTTGAGCCTGCTCATTGCTCTCATCGACCCTTCGGGTGTATATGAGCTTGAAGGAGAAGATGAGAGCAATGCAATTATTCACTCCAATCCTGAACTGTGCCCTATTCCTCCTTCAACACAGCGCCTAATCCTGATACTTCTTCTTATAGCTGGTGGTCCTTACACTACTTGACTTTCCTACCAGATTCGGCGTAGCGCCCACTTACTTAACTTTAGAAAATATAAGAATTTTCAGAAATAATTTGAACTTTTTCAAATTAAACTTTTCTTGGACAACTACTAAAAACCTTTCTTTCGTAACTTTCTAAAAAATTTCTCTTCTTCTATTTCTTTCTTACTAAGTCTTCTGTCTTTCTCTTCTTTCTTTTCTTTTTCTCGACCCAAGTCTCACACTTGGGTCCTTAGGGAACTAACGTCCCAAAACTTTCTTTCTTACTTAGCAATTTAAGATAATAAGTAGAGCACTCATAAATATTATACTTAGTCTTAAATTTAAAACATTTTCTCAAACACAAACCCGAATTCAGTTCACAAAGCAGGAAAATAAATAGAGTTTGTAGAAAGGCCAACCACAAGCACTTAGCCATCTCATAGGCATTTTTCCGTCTCATAGGCACTACCACCACTAGCAGTGTGACAATTTAGTTGTCTCATAGGCAAGGCCAGTCACAAGCACTTAGCCATCTCATAGGCGGAATCATTTATGAAACACGCAGGGGAAAAATAAAAAATTGGTCCCACAAGTTGAGGGGGGTGCCACTTTTGGTTCTGTAAGATCGTTAAAGTCGCCAATAGTCCTACAACTTTCAAAAAGTAATCAAAAGGCGGACTTTTGATGCGATTTCGAGTCCGAAAGGCCTGATAAGCCATGTGGCGCAGAATAACAACAACAACAACAATGATAATAATAATAATAATAATAATAATAATAATAATAATAATAATAATAATAATAATAATAATAATAATAATAATAATAATAATAATAATAATAATAATAA